TGAGTGCGTGTGTCATTTATTCGTTTATTTGTCGACCATCTTGTTGTAAATAAAGACGATTGGATCCTTTATTCAGCAATACAAAGCAAGGGGCGAGTACAAAAGGATTTTTCGATACGCCCTACCCCGACAAACAAAGACACATAGAATATTTACAACTATAACGAAAACTCTGCTAGAAATCCCCTACAAAATTCGCTCTACTTCTTCTCCGGCTGTGCGGGGGGCTGCTGCTGCTTCAGCTCGATCTGCTCGTACCCAGACGTGATCTGGAGAAAGAGGAAATTCTTTACAAGAGATATAACTTTTCGTATAGATAGAAGAACGGTTACTGTTTTCTAATCACATCTCACAAATTTGTAAAAAACTCCAAATTCGCTCATTTTCAAACAGAATTCCAAATTTTAAAACATTTTGGAGCTTCCCAAATAATTTTTCCATTTAGAATGCAGCTAAACATGATCAAAAGCACTACCAAATAAAACCAGAACTTACCGAGGAATTGCGGAAATTCGGGAACGCCTCCCATGGAGTCTCAAGGTCGAACCGCCTGAACTCTTGCGCCAATTCGGTCGGCTCGTAGACGATACGCCGCAGCTCGGGATCGTATCGGACCTAGAAAAGCGTACATATCAAAAGGGAATGGGCAAACCTCATTATATCCGGACAGCGGGAAATCCTTGCGGAAGGGGTGCCCCTCAAAACCGTAATCGGTCAAGATTCGGCGCAGATCAGGGTGATTGTTGAACCAAACACCATACATGTCGTACACCTCGCGCTCGAACCTAAAGGGGGCAATGTTAATAACAATGAAAGCAAAACGGGAAATAATTTATAATAGAAACTTACCAATCGGCTCCCGCAAAGACGCTGCAGGCGCTTTCCAACGGCGCGACTTCATCGGTGTAGGTACGCACACGGACCCTACCGTTGAAGCGCACAGAGTACAGGGCGTAGACGACCTAAGACAAGCAAATATTGATTGCGAATCGTCATACCTCGAAACGGTTCTTCCTCGTTGGCACATCAACACACGTGATGAATGTGAGGTTGGTGAATTGCGCCGAGTGGTTGCCCTTCAAGAAAGAAAGCACGGGAATCACTCCATCCGGGTGGATCAACAGCTCGAGCTCGTCGCCGGCAGCAAACTGAAAATCAGAACGTTCGGCGGGAACAATTTTAACCCAAAAAACGCGTTAGATTCCCAACCTGCGCTTGCTGTACGTATTTTGGAAGACATTCGGCGGCATAGCGGCCAAAATTCGCGAGTTTTTCACGGACATTCTCGTCAATCTTCCAAATCGTTGCTAAAAAATGGTTTGGCCGCAAAATCCCAGGCAAATTACGTTTCTTGATGGATTTCTTCTCTCCGGCCGTATCTTGAGCTTGAGCGCAAATCGTTGAGGTCGAAAGAGGCGCGGCCAGTGCGGCTCGGACCAACGGAGAACCACCCAAGAGAGCCCGCTTCAGCATCCTACAATTTGTTTATGAAATTCAGTATTGAGCCATCAGAAAAAGACATGGAATGATCAGCAAATTAGAGACCTGTCGTGCAGAGATCATAAATGAAAGGAATACAGACAGTACATTCAAAAATTATTGTTCTAATACAAGCGAAGAAATTACAAGGTTCGCGGAACAAAGGTATCGCCGGTGATGGCCTGGTAGAGCGCTTGCTTATATTTGTGCATTGCTTCGAGCTCGTCCTGCGTCTTTGCAATTTCCTTGCGAAGATCCTCGTTGCGTGCCCTCAGTCTATCCTTATCATCGCTTGTCGTTTTCAGTTCCTCCACAATCTTCGGGACGTCCAGTGGAGCAGGAAGAATGTGGCCAGCAACGGGAGCCGTCGTCAGCCATTCAAGTCTGGCATCAAGCCCTGCTTCAAGAGCCTCTTTGTATTTCGCTGGGTAGACGCGCCGTTTTTCGCAGACTTCGGCGACCTTCTCGTCCAGTTCGCGTAACAAAAGCTGGTTCTCTTTCTCGGTGTCTTTCGCTGTAAAATTGGCCGCGTGCGCTCCACTCATTTCCTAAAAATAACGGTTGCAAGCAAGACATAATCAAGCAAGTGGAAGGAAAGCGAGAAGCTATGAAACGGATACAACCACCATGGTGCTTGCACTTGCAAGTAAGTGCGCTCGGCGAAACACGGCGCCGGGGCCCCACCACCACCCAGCGCACAAAGAATGAGCCACTAAGTATTGTGTCGTAATCCGAGCAAGAAAATCAGGTTCCCGAAATACTGTTAGCGATATCCCGATACCAGCCGCATCGAGAACTATCGTAGGTAGATCCCGTGATACCAACGCAATGTTTTTGTATTGCAGTACACAATGGTTAGAACAACAATTTATAACAAAAAGTGAGTAAAGTTAAATTCCTGTATTGGGTCGACATGAAGGAAGTAGAGCGAAAGCTTCAGCACTACCAGAAATTCCGGAAATGTATCACGAAATTGGTGCAACTTCCCAATCAGAATTCAAAGAGCGACATTCAACAACATTCCACAAGATTTAGTTCTGGAGATTCTGGAGAGATTCTTCGTGCACGCGAATGGCCTCTTGGACACGCTGCTTGAACAGATCCTCATCGTTGAGAAGCAGAAGCAACTCCGAGTTGTCAATTTCCAGAATCATGCCCGTGATCTTGCCAGCATCACACGACGGGAACATCTGCGTCAGCTTAGTGTGGATCGCCTCACCGAGCCTCTGCTTCTGCTCCTAAACCAAAAAATATTAAGCGTCTAAAGCAAAGATCCAACCTGCGGAGTGGCCTGAGACAAAGTCTCGAGAGAAAGGTTGTTGCCGTTGTTGAGTCCCTGTCCGCCATTGGCGTCTCCGTAATAACGCTGACGGTTTTGACCAGGGTGCTGATTGTTGTAGCGCGAGCTCCCATGCGGACCGGGACGCGGACCGAATGAACGTCGTCCTGCCATGTGGGGTGGCATGCCATGCATCGGTGGCATGTGAGGACGCTGCGGCTGCCAGCGTTGTGGATGGGAGTTCATCATGGCACCAGACATCGGCATCGCACCAAAGCCGGGGCCAGGGTTCTAAGAAAAAGTTTAGGCTGGTGGCGAAAAGACTTACGTTGATTGGATTGGCCAGGAAATAACCGGTATTGGCCGCCGGGTAGACCGACTGAGGTGGCATCACGCCGTTGTTCGTAATTCGCATGTTAGCCACGCGCAGCATGTACTGCGAGGCCAGCTGCGCACGCCGATCTTCCTTGCGCTGAGCAGGGGCCACGTACAGCAGCTTGGTCGAGATCTTTCGAGTGTTCATCTCCGAGACGGCCTTTGTGGCTTCATCGGTTTTTTCAAAGCAAACGAAGCCGAAACCCTTCGAGAGTCCGCGCTCATCGGTCATCACCTAAAGTCTATTTCCGAAACATAATATCAACAAACTTTGCACGAGACGATGGTTCCGTACGGCTCGAAAAGGGTGCGTAGCATTTCATCGTTAACAGAGTCGTCAAGGTTCTTCACGTACAAGTTCACGCCTTGGCACGTCTGGAGTCGGCTGACTTTGCGAAGCTCAAAGCGGCGCTTCAGTTCGAGCTGGCGCTCGTGCTTCTTTTGAGCACGGCACACCTCCAGCTTGTTGTCGGTGCCCTCGAGCTGGTAGCCGTTCAGTTCAGCGCAGGCCTAAACTGGATGAGAGATGGCAAGGATAATAAAACCTTTTCGGCTGCTTCCGGGTCTTTGAACGCAACGAAGCCAAAGCCCTTGGGATTGCCATCTTGGTCCATCATGACGGCTGCGCTGGTAATTTCGCCAAATTTTCCGAACAGCTTTACGAGACCATCCTTGTCGAGGTGCGAGCCGAAGTTCTTGACAAAGACGTTCAGGAACGTAGTCGATTCGCCAAGTTCCTTCAGACGCGTCAGTCGTGGCAGGAATTTTGCGACGTAGACTTGCTTATCAGCGAGCAGCATGCCATTAACTTTCTCGATGGCCACGTTTGCATCTTTCTCATCCTCGAAATGCACAAATCCATAGCCCTTGCTTTCGCCCTTATCGTCGAGCACAACCTAGAAAAATTAGGTGGCAAAGTAGACAGTAGCCATACCTTGCAGGATAGGATAGGTCCAAACAACAGGAAAGTATCATGCAGGGCCTTGTGGTCGATAGATTTGTCAAGATTCTTGATGAAGATATTGCCGGCGCCCGAGCGACGAGTAGCCGGATCACGGTTGGACCACATGATACGAATCGGTTGACCATTGAGGTTGTCGAAGTTCATCCGCTCAAGCGCAGTTCTAGCTAAACAGGGTTGCCAGCAAGTTAAAAACAAATACCATCATCTGGTTGCTGATAGTTGACGTAAGCATATCCCAGAGATTTCCTCGTGACAGCATCGCGGAGAACGCGGATCGAGAGTATTTGGCCGGCTTGGCAAAACTTCTCATAGAGGTCCCTCTCCTGGACCTCCGGGTGCAAGTCGCCCACATACAGCGAAGCCATCGAATACGGCGCAGTGGGAACGGCGACAGCAGTCATTTCTAAAAAAATATGAAGAAGGAAACCGAAAATTACTTTTTTTTCTTTTTTTCTAGCCCAGTTGAGGCGCTTGTAACTCCTGAAATTGTGGGTTTTAGCAAAAAAAATAACGGGCCGGAGAGAAAGGTAAAAAAATAAGCCGCTGGAAGCAAAAAAAACCAGGGAGCGCCGGAGAAAAGACGAAATCTTGGAAATCCAGGATCCGTGCCGGGACCCGTTACGGTGTCAGGTGGTGTGGTGTGGAATCGGTTAGTTTCGAAACCCCCCCCCAACGTTTTTCGCAAACTGGCGCACTTTTGTCCTTTCCTTCACTACAGAATCAAAAAATTTTCAATGTTGTTTGCCGGAATTGCTGCGGGTCGACTGTATCTATCTTTATCACCGGCTCCCAACTTTCCATAAACAGATTTTATCGGCAACAAATCGATAACGGAGAGTAACAATAATAGACGGAATTCCAATCAGGACAGCAAAACGGAAGATTCTATGTATGTTATTGTTATTCCATCGAGTCCTCTCCGCGCGTAGAGCGCCGTAAACGCTCCATCAGCCGGTTGTTCGCCTTTGTCAATGCTGTAGGGGTAATCGACACGCGAAGTCGCTCTGGAAATCAAATATGGCTGAACCCTATCAATTGACAGCTTTTCGACAAATGGTAAAACGAGCACAAACCTTTCAATTTTTTATCTTCGATTGTGGGTCTCTTGATTTTGACCGGGGTTGGCCTGTTGCCTGCTCGTTTGCGCTTTGTCGGGCTACTAAAGTTCACTTGGAGCTGCGCCAACACTGTACCTTTCAGACGCCGATTCTTCATCATTGATCATGCGCAATAGATCGGCTTCATCTTGATCGCTTTGATCTAAACGAAAAATACGTCGATGAAGAAAATAAAGCACCCGCTGTTTGATCCAGTTGCGGATCCTCCGGCTCCTGCGTAGCAGCACTGGTTGATGCGGCCTAATAGAATAGTTAAAAGTTTACGGATGCTATCCAACCGATACTTCGTTTGAATTCAGTGCAGTGACCTTTGTTTCCTTTATTTCTGTATAAGCGCCGGGGACTAAAGGACAATTATGATACAGGAATGAATCGATACCCATTTCCGGATCAGCGTATCTCCGGTTTCTGCTATGCTGCACCTTTCCGGAATAAGCTCGGTTCTAAAAAAGATTGATGGATCAAAGACTGGCCGGACCCGAATGTCACTCCTGGTATTCTCGGACGAATTGGATTCCTTTGGCGGAGAACTGAGGGCTTCGAGGGAGGATTGCATCGCGCTAAGATCATCGTATAAGGATGAGGAGAGAAAGCTTACGCTTTGATCCGTTCTAGTTGACTTGTAAAGTTGACCGCTGGATTGACCTCGGACAATACTTGCAGCTGCTAGAAAAGAATGGTGAGTTCAAGAATAGTACACCTGCCTTTAGAATCGGATCTTTCGGCAGCTGGGCCAAAAAGTTGGATGGGCCCGGGTCCAGATTGTCGGAACCGACCAGCAATTCATCTTCAGAAAGCTCGAAACGGCGGTGGGTCACATAGTCATACTAAAAAAGCAACATTGAACGAAAACAGCCTTGCCCATACCGAGCTCGCGAACGGCGCTAAGACGAACGCCTTGTAAGCATGCAGCTTCAGCAGAGTCGCTACAGTATCCAGGTGATTTTCGTGCTAAAATCGAGGCGTTTTAAGGTAATAAACTACTTACAATCAACTCTCGTTGCAAACGGGTCATTTCAATCATCTGGACTGGGGTTACGCGAATCTGGAGTGCATAGTGATTATTCAAAAGGAAAAGCAAAATACCGGAACGACATAGTCAGACGGCTGCAGAAAGTAAAGTGAATAGGTGAGATAGACGCCGAAGATGCGCTCGAGCAGCTCACGCGGCTAAATAATAAAAATATCGCTCCAGAATCTCTTTTAAAGCTCTTTTTTTGTTTCCAGAGGGCCGCGAACAAAGACGATGTCAAAAGAAGCAAATACAAAATGCCTAAAAACAATACCTGCGGCTCGTCCGGATTGCCGGCGACCGCTGCGAGCTGGGTAGTATGATGACAATCCACCGGAACTCTCTCGGTAAATACAGATGGCGCCGCCGTGGGAAATGGGTGCATGTAGCTCGCCGCCATTTGGAGAAGCCGCTCGGTGAACTAAAATTGCAGTAATTGAGGGTATATTATTAAGCGTTGGGGCAATTCGATCGGCTAATAATTACCTCGACATGCTCTCCAGGATCCAAACGCCCCGCAAAGATCTTCTCGAAGTGCATTGACTAAAAAAATAAGAATGCAGGCGCAATCTGTAGGCTATTATAACATCTCTGAAATATCCCACCCTAAAAACGGTGCGAAAATGCGCGATACGAGCCGTATTACCCTCTTGAAAACGCTTATACAGCTCCACTATGTCCTTCCGCATTCCGGTGTAGATCTAAGAAATTCAGTCAAGGGAATCGGACATTTTCTATACCGGTTCAAGAACATCTTTCGCTGGTTTCGCTCCGACCATCCTGAAATTTTTCTGGGTCCCCGATTTGAGATGCGCAACCTAACATCTAGTGTCCCGCGGTCCGGCTAATGTTCCATATAAAACCTCTGAGCCTAACAAGCTATTAGAGCTTCAACGTTCCAAAACAAGCTTTTATTGATAGAGAAACCGAAGAACAAAAGGTAGACAAGAAAAGGCGCCAGAGCCAAAAGTCAAACAGAAATATGTAATAAATATTATTAGGCAGTAGTTAGAATAGGTCGATGCCGTTGATTATTGGGTAGCAGGGAAGTCGCCAGTTTTCTAAATGCATATTTAAAAAAGCTATAAGTAAATACCTATCAGAAGAGACGCCTGGCCACGGGTGGACGTGGTGTTGGTGTCGTGCAATACTGTAGAAAATCCTCGAGCTCGGTTGGCGGTCGGGAACCAGCGGCCTAAACAAGTTTAATTTAGCTAGCAAAAGTTGAGAAGCCAGATAAAATTACCGTTTCATTATCGTTTCGATCAAAACGGAAATTGTTCAGCATTATGCGTTTGGTAGGTGGATAATGGTCGGGGCTTCTAAGTCTCTGAATTGGCTGATCCGGCTCCAACTTGAGTTTGTTCATATCCACGACGGCCTTGTCGACAATACTAAAAAACGAAGTCATTGAGGAATCAAGCAAGCTTACGCGATGATCTTCTCAGCATAATTGACACCGCGAATTTCCTTGCCCTGCAGAGTCGAAAGGAGTTTCTAGAGAGAATTTTTCGAGGCAAAAGAAAAAATCCACTCACCACGGTATCGGGGCGTTTCATAAACTTGTGCATGTTGGTAAAAGGCGTCACGTGGAATGCATCGGGGTTATCAAGCTGTTCATAGTCCATATCATAGCGCCTCAATTCCGCTGGGCCGAACTAAAAATGGTGTATTTTAAAGGGGCTCCGAACTGCCAAATCAAAGCCTTTTTGGGAGGCCTCTTTGATTTCTGGCAAATTGCCAGCGGGCGCTGCGGGACGAGAGCCCTCACTCTTTCGATTTTTGCGCGAAGTTGTTTTTGCCCGGTTTCTTTGTGAAAACAATATAATTCGCACATTCTGGGCCCATTTTTGAAATCCTCACTTAATTTTGAATAGTTTTGGTGTTTTAATCATCCAATTTGGCCCAAAAACAGCCGAGAACGTGATTTCGAGGTGACAACAGGCCATTTCAAATTTGCGAGCTTCCCGCGACCCTAGGTGTGGGGCCTCCACGTAAGGGTCCGATTTTGGGCCATACCAATTTTGGATTTGTAGCCCTTTAAGAGTCAGAATCACCTACCATATATTTGGAGAAGGGCACCACGCGGAAGACCTCCTTCTCTTTCAGCCGACGAATACATTCCATGACATCATAGAGCTTTTCCTGAATCATAACTTTGTAAATCTTCATAAAAACACATACATCTCTTGCGTAGGCGAATAGATTCGTCACCGCATCGAGGAGCATCGGGCTCACACGGACCTAAAGGCCTTGAAATAAGCAAACGCTTAAAACCCCACCGGAAACGTGCTCTTCGTAGATTGGCTGGCATACAACGCGAAGGTGAGGTAGGCGCCATAAATTCGATCGACTATTGGACGGCTAATGAATTTTCCTCCCTATAAAATAACCGTTTTGAGAGCCGGCGATAATTTTTTCAGCAGTTAGCAAATGTTGCAAGGTTCGCAGGGTTATAGTCACCACGTAGTTTCATCCAGTTTATTATTATGGTACAAAGTTTACGCAGAAAATTCTGCCATTCGAACGTTTTTTTGCGCAAATACCGCGCCGAGAAACGGTTACGCAAGGGATTCCCGCAAAATGCCGCCATTCCCCCCCCCCCCCCATGTTCCCCCCGTTTGCCGCTTTTTCGAAAGCCAACCCAGCTACGGACCTTCAGGTGGGGCTCCCTTGCAATCATTTCCGGATCGTAGTGTTCGTGCATGTAGTTGGCAGCAATTTGTAGGAGTCTCTCGGAAAACTAAAACACAAAATTTCATTTGAAACTCTCAGCTACTCTACCTCAGCCAACTCGGCAAGCGTATCCCGTCCAGAGTAGACCAGATGCATGTTCATGTCCTGAAAAAAGGATTTGAACTCTATCTCATTGAGAAATCACTGACCTTGAAAGCGAAGTAAAATTCATCATAATTCGGTCGCCCGGCCAGCACGAACCGTTTGCGCAGCGCTTCTAGATCCTTGTGGATGCCCGCGAATAGCTATCAACAATCTCGTTGTACGAAATAAAAAAAGTAACCGGGATAATCGATGTTCCTAGGCCTTTTCCCATCTGATTGATTGACGCAGGGTGTCCGTCGTCTTTCTAAAAATTTGAAAAAGGGTTATAGATCAGAGAAATTCGTTATACGGCTTAAACAGCAACAAAATTGCAATAAAATCAAACTAAAAATCAAAATTCACGACTTCAAAAATGTTAGTACGTGCGGCACCTCCCCACGAACCTACGTTCTTAGGAAAAAATGGAACGGTCTGAAATAGGATTTTTCTTTTTTCCTGATTTCGTTCAAATCTATTTGCTTTTCGTTTCGTTGTCCTCGGATTTCAAATTTTTCTTGAAAAAAACTTAAAAATTCTCATTTTCAGGACAAGATGTCCCGTATCAACATCGTCAGCGCCAATTTCATCGAGAACCCCGCCGCATTCGGCAAAGAATTCAAGCTGGAGATCACGTTCGAGGCCTTCCAGCATCTCGAAAAAGGTACGCACTTTGTAAAAGACGTTTAGACTCTTCTAGACCTAGAGTGGCAGCTGGTTTACGTCGGTAGCCCCTCGAAGAACGTGCACGACCAGATCCTCGATTCAATTTTCATCGGGCCCACGCCGGCAGGCCGTCACCAGTTCGTGCTCGATGTGAGAATGATTGGTTTTTAGTAAATTTCTTTTTTAGGCCCCCGCCCCTATTCTGTCCAAGATTCCGCAAGAAGACTTGGTTGGCGTCGCCGGGCTGCTGCTAAAGATCAAATACAACGAGCAGGAATTTATCAACCTCGGTTGGTTCGTCCGTGTGTTCTACAGCGACCCGGAAATGGAGGCCGCACCGCCAGCTGTACCACAGCCTGACCTGGTACCGTTTTCAAATGAAGTCGTATATGTTTTCAGCTGACCCGCGAAGTTATGGTGGACGATGTGCGTGTTACGAATATTCCGATCAAGTGGGGCGACGTCGAGGAAGTGATTCCCCAGTCTGACGAACCGGTATCACTATTTCGGCTTTGAAAACTTTCGCTTAGATTGCCGACGACGATATCGCCATCGATTTGACAGTGCCGGATACGGACGACGTTCAAGGAAGCGTCCAGGCTGGAGAAGGACAGGCAGAATCCGGATCTGATGAGGAGGACAGCGAGGAAGACGAGGAATCTGGCTCCGACATCGAAATCGGTTCTGACGATGTAGGCCTAGAGCTTCAATGTCAATGCTTTTGTCTTTTTCAGTCTGATGGCGAGGAAGTTGAGGAGGACGAGCAGGGAGATGAACCTGGAGCTGGAGCTGGAGATTGCGGCGATGAGGGTGATTTCGTATGACATTTGAAATCTGTTTTTCTTGTGTTTTAGCGATGGAAGTCGAGAACGCTGGTGATGCGGCCCCCACCACGGAGAAGCCGACCGAAGCGCCGGTCCAAGACGCCCTGAACGACGTGACCAATGCCTGATCATTCTCACCTATACCGGTTATGTTTTGTATGCTTTTCACTTTTCATTTCTCACATTTTCCCGAGCGCTAAATTTATGGAGAATAAACATTGCTCCTACTATAGAAAATATAAAATTGGTGTTTGGGGGGTGTTACTAGGTGCAAAATGTAGCATTTAGATCTTTACAGCGACGTACAGTCTGATCCTGAAAGAATGGCTGGCGCGGTCTTTTTTTATGTTTATTAGCCTCGATTGTTCACGTCGACCCGGAGACTGGAATACATCAAAAAATACGGTTCTTATTGACTAGGCACACTTTCCCGCAAATAAAAATACAAACATTAGTCACCGCTTGCCCAGGCATTGTTCTATTATAGAGGCTTGTTCCCAAACAGTGGCGACGAGATCAAAGGCGAATGCGATCAGAAGTGGCCGGCGGGCTGATTGGGGTCATTTGTCGCCGGTGGCCACAAATGTCGTCTCGTCCTTTTTCCTGTTATCGCCGGAGGGCTGCTCGGCCCATCCGGGACAATTGTACGCTGCTGGCACGTGTCTTGGTCTCTATCTAAAAGATTGTGGTTCTATTGATGCTGAAAGGGATCTTATCTATAACTTCACATATTTGGCCGATAACTTGACTTAACAGATGTCCTACACAACTTTTATCGACATATCAGTTAGACGTGATCTTTCTTTTTTTATTCCCGATTCTCGTTCTATTTTGACTTGCGGGAGTTATTTACAAAAAAAATCCAGGATATATATACTTTCAGGGGCCGGTGGGATGCTTGGGAATTTGTTGTTGTTGTTTCTGTGTTTGTCCCAGATAGCGCAGAGCAGCATCCCGTTCCGCCGGAAAAGCAATAAGTCACCAGGGAACCCAGTGGTGCTCAGTAAGTTTAGTTTTTATAGTCCTAAAAACTTGTTTTTAGTTCCCGGTGATGCGGGAAGTCAGCTAGAGGCTAATTTAACGGGAAAACCGGAGGTAAGATCAATCTAAATCTAAAACGACTTCTAGGGTTACAAATATAATTAATAAACCATAAAATACACTGCCGGTCATAATTTTGGCTTCACCCAAATTTTTGCGATTTTCTCGCATGGTAGCGGAACATACAGGGTGCGTCTCACGGATAGGGTTTTTGAAAGAGACTGTAAACTGTAAACCGGATTCATGGCATCGGGAATCGGTGTTCGCAGATCCCTTGACACTCAGGTGCCTCTTTCCTTACAAAATTACCCTGGGAAACATTTGAAAAAATTTTTGGTTTTTGAGTTTTTCGAGGTGGAGCCCAAATTATAACCACTTGCTAGAAGCGAAGTTTAACAAAAATTCCATTTTCGAAAAAATTAATTTGTTTCCGGAGATTTCCTTTTAAACCCAGTTTACAGTCTTTTCGACAAACCCTATCCTTGAGGCGCGTCCAGTATGCTCCGCTACCATGCAAGAAAATCGCAAAAATTTGGGAGAATTATCGCAAAATTATGACCGGCAGTGTATATAGTTTACTACAAGCAAAAACTACCTAGGTGGTGCACTACATCTGCTCGAAATTGACGCTAGACTACTTTGATTTGTGGCTGAATCTGGAGTCTTTTTCACCGGTGGCTATTGATTGCTGGGTGGACAATATGAAGTAATAATAACATTATTAAATATCGATACCTTTATCACAGGCTTGTTTACAATACCACTTCCGGGCTTTCGTCGAATATGCCAGGTGTTGATATCCGAGTGCCCGGATTTTCGGCCACCGAAACGATTGAATGGTTGGATCCAAGTAATGTAAGTTATTCTTTTATTTTTTTGAGCAATTTTTAGGCTTCAACCGGTTCATACTTTTTCACGCTTGTCGATATGATGGCCCAATGGGGGTATAAACGCGGGAAAAGCGTGGTGGCTGCCCCGTATGATTGGCGAAAAAGTCCTGGTAATTTATAGACTTTAGGCAACTTTTAAATAATTATTTTAGTCGAAAACGACGGCTATTTCGTGCTTTTGAAATCGTTGATCGAGTTGACATACCGGTACAATCAAAACCAAAAGGTCATCATCCTCGCGCACTCGATGGGCAACCCAGCAATGTTGTATTTTTATAAAAATTATGTAGATCAGGTAAGCGCATTATTCAATAAAAATAACAAAAGCAAGGCAATCTTTACAAGATAAGAAAATCATGAAAAAAATACCGTTTAGGCCTGGAAAGATAAATACATTCAATCGCACGTGAGCCTGGCTGCGGCGTGGGGTGGCTCGATGCAGATCATCCGGCTTTACGTTTCAGGTGGGCGTACTAGCAGTGTTTATTGAGGAAAACGAGCTCGATTTTATTTTCTACACTGAAACAATGTGTTTTAGGCTATAACATGAACTATTACCGGATTATACTACCGCCTTCAAGCCTACGCTCTATGCAACGGTCGTTCACTTCATCGGCTTTTTTGTTTCCATCCAAGGTATCGAAAACTTAGAGTAAAAAACAAAAACAGCGTGCGAGCGTATGCGTCGCGTACGAACTTTTATATAACGTTAACCAGCGGGGGAGGAGCCGCTTCGCGACTCTCCCCCGCTGGACCCCGTCTAGGCCTTATGAATCGAGCACCCTTCCACAGACAGTTATCCTGAAGAAAGAAAAACCCATCTCCCATGCAAAGCCGTTTGTATTGGCATGCGGCGCAAGATTGAACTGTTAGTCTCGTTATTAGGCCTGCGGCGCATGTTTGATCGGCTAGGTCATCATCTTCTCACCTCATCACCTCATCCTGCGGCCCAAGCTTGAGGGATTAGCCTCCTTTTTTGGCCTTTGGCGACAGCTTGAGCGGCTGGCTTCGTTCTAAAGCTTGCGGCGCTAGCTTGAGCGGCTGGCTTCGTTCTAAAGCCTGCGGCGCTAGCTTTAGCGGCTGGCTTCGTTCTGAAGCCTGCGGCGCTAAGCGAGCGGCTGGCTTCGTTCTAAAGCCTGCGGCGCTAGCGAGCGGCTGGCTTCGTTCTAAAGCCTGCGGCGCTAGCGAGCGGCTGGCTTCGTTCTAAAGCCTGCGGCGCTAGCGAGCGGCTGGCTTCGTTCTGAAGCCTGCGGCGCTAAGCGAGCGGCTGGCTTCGTTCTAAAGCCTGCGGCGCTAGCGAGCGGCTGTCTTCGTTCTAAAGCCTGCGGCGCTAGCGAGCGGCTGGCTTCGTTCTAAAGCCTGCGGCGCTAGCTTGAGCGGCTGGCTTCGTTCTGAAGCCTGCGGCGCTAGCTTGAGCGGCTGGCTTCGTTCTGAAGCCTGCGGCGCTAGCTTGAGCGGCTGACTTCGTTCTAAAGCCTGCGGCGCTAGCTTGAGCGGCTGGCTTCGTTCTAAAGCCTGCGGCGCTAGCTTGAGCGGCTGGCTTCGTTCTAAAGCCTGCGGCGCTAGCTCGAGCGGCTGGCTTCGTTCTGAAGCCTGCGGCGCTAAGCGAGCGGCTGGCTTCGTTCTGAAGCCTGCGGCGCTAGCGAGCGGCTGGCTTCGTTCTAAAGCCTGCGGCGCTAGCTGAGCGGCTGGCTTCGTTCTAAAGCCTGCGGCGCTAGCGAGCGGCTGGCTTCGTTCTAAAGCCTGCGGCGCTAGCTTGAGCGGCTGGCTTCGTTCTAAAGCCTGCGGCGCTAGCGAGCGGCTGGCTTCGTTCTGAAGCCTGCGGCGCTAGCTGAGCGGCTGGCTTCGTTCTAAAGCCTGCGGCGCTAGCGAGCGGCTGTCTTCGTTCTAAAGCCTGCGGCGCTAAGCGAGCGGCTGGCTTCGTTCAAAAGCCTGCGGCGCTAAGCTTGAGCGGCTGGCTTCGTTCTGAAAGCCTGCGGCGCTAGCTTGAGCGGCTGTCTTCGTTCTAAAGCCTGCGGCGCTAGCTTGAGCGGCTGTCTTCGTTCTAAAGCCTGCGGCGCTAAGCTGAGCGGCTGGCTTCGTTCTAAAGCCTGCGGCGCTAGCTCGAGCGGCTGGCTTCGTTCTGAAGCCTGCGGCGCTAAGCGAGCGGCTGGCTTCGTTCTAAAGCCTCGGCGCAGCTTGAGCGGCTGGCTTCGTTCTAAAGCCTGCGGCGCTAAGCTTGAGCGGCTGGCTTCGTTCTAAAGCCTCGGCGCTAAGCGAGCGGCTGGCTTCGTTCTAAAGCCTGCGGCGCTAGCGAGCGGCTGGCTTCGTTCTGAAGCCTGCGGCGCTAAGCGAGCGGCTGGCTTCGTTCTAAAGCCTGCGGCGCTAGCTCGAGCGGCTGGCTTCGTTCTGAAGCCTGCGGCGCTAGCTGAGCGGCTGGCTTCGTTCTAAAGCCTGCGGCGCAGCTTGAGCGGCTGGCTTCGTTCTAAAGCCTGCGGCGCTAGCGAGCGGCTGGCTTCGTTCTAAAGCCTGCGGCGCTAGCGAGCGGCTGGCTTCGTTCTAAAGCCTGCGGCGCTAGCGAGCGGCTGGCTTCGTTCTGAAGCCTGCGGCGCTAGCGAGCGGCTGGCTTCGTTCTAAAGCCTGCGGCGCTAGCTCGAGCGGCTGGCTTCGTTCTGAAGCCTGCGGCGCTAGCGAGCGGCTGGCTTCGTTCAAAGCCTGCGGCGCAAGCTGAGCGGCTGGCTTCGTTCTAAAGCCTGCGGCGCTAGCTTGAGCGGCTGGCTTCGTTCTAAAGCCTGCGGCGCTAGCTCGGCGGCTGGCTTCGTTCTGAAGCCTGCGGCGCTAAGCTTGAGCGGCTGGCTTCGTTCTAAAGCCTGCGGCGCTAGCGAGCGGCTGGCTTCGTTCTGAAGCCTGCGGCGCTAAGCGAGCGGCTGGCTTCGTTCTAAAGCCTGCGGCGCTAAGCTGAGCGGCTGGCTTCGTTCTAAAGCCTGCGGCGCTAAGCGAGCGGCTGGCTTCGTTCTAAAGCCTGCGGCGCTAAGCGAGCGGCTGGCTTCGTTCTAAAGCCTCGGCGCTAGCTTGAGCGGCTGGCTTCGTTCTGAAGCCTGCGGCGCTGAGCGAGCGGCTGGCTCGTTCTGAAGCCTGCGGCGCTAGCGAGCGGCTGGCTTCGTTCAAAGCCTGCGGCGCTAGCGAGCGGCTGGCTTCGTTCTGAAGCCTGCGGCGCTAGCGAGCGGCTGGCTTCGTTCTAAAGCCTGCGGCGCTAGCGAGCAGTTAGCTTAATTCCTTGGCCTGCAGCGCATGCTGAGCGGGTAGCTTCATTCTATAGGCTGCGGCGAGTGACTAACTTCATAATAACGTCCTTACACGGAAATCCACTCCGAAACGCGCTTTCCGAGCAAAAAGCAAAACAACTAAAATGTCCGAGGATCGAACCTCCGATGGTTAGATTAGCACGGCGAAACGCTAACCACTACACCATGTAATGCTTGGTGGCACGCGCCAAACACCCGTTTTATGCCTCAAGAGGACTGCCCGGGGCAGGGGAAGGAAAGGCATCGAGAGGCAGATCCAAAGAGACGACCAAACTTGCGAGTGCAACTGGCAAGAATGAGTAAATTTGTATTTTTTACATTATGCAAATTAGCCCTCCCGGACCCCCAAAAATCAATAAAACCGGCTTTAACTTTGTTAACTTGTATTTTATCGGGATTCTGAAAGCGCCATCGGAAAGAGGAGGGTCGATTCCCCCGGGTGACGGAGAATTAAGGCATTTTATGCACGGGAAGGCCCTCAAATCGGGCCTCGAAAGTGACGACCGGACACACACACAGACAAAGATACGCGACCAAATTATATAAGGTAGGATATCCGGAATTTTAGGCTGTCTGGGGCCCGGATGAGATACTTGCATATACGGCCGAGAAGAATTATACGGTATCCAGTGTTGGGCAGGTTTTTACAAAAGATTTTTAGTTACGAGACGTCAAGGATCTGTTCTACGATGCGAATTACCCCATGGGATGGCAGCAATATAAGAAACACGCCGAGCTGCTTGGGGATTTGGATGCGCCGGGGGTTGAGGTGGGCTGAAGGTGGTTAGCAGGGGCCATTTGGGAATAGGAATAGGGTGGGCAGGCGAGCGGAGATTGTTTGGCAAATAAGATTTTGTAAAATTTGGTAATTTGATGGGTCCATTTGATAGCTAGAAGATGAGAGAGGGGGATTTTCTGGGGAAAACCAAGCCTTTTTCCTTTCTTATCCAATTTTTTATCAAACAAATCTAGGCTGTGTTTCTACCCCGTTTTCGACTGTTACTAAGCGCACAAAAACTACAATTTGTTATTAAAAAATAAAAAATAACATAAATTTTCGACCAAAAACGCCGATTTTCGAACAAAATGGTGAATTTTTAAACAATTTTTGAAGCTTTTGGATAGCTTTCCATTTAAAATAGAGGGGCAGGGTCACAGAATTCATTTCAGAATTTACATGCTAAGAGGGCGATCTAGCAGACTATTTGGGAATCTACTCGATAAGGGCAAGTTAGCAGAGATTATTTGAGCATTCCAGACCGCCCTATTAGTGCAAGTTCGGGATACGACCCATTAGGCTAACAGGGATCCTTTAGAAAAACTGGAAACTTGCAGAGATACTTTAGGAAATATCTAGTTACGTCATCTAATGATTCTTTTCAGGTGCACTGTATCTACGGTCTCGGCGTGCCCACCCCCGACTCGTTCACCTGGGCCAAGGGGTTCGGTTTTGCCTTTTTCTAGCGTTTGCGAAAGCTAATAAGGCGAAAAAATAGGGCTTATCCCCGTTTTGGAGGGAGGGCAGCGTTATCGGCTTTTGGTTGACGGATTGGATGGGGGGCAAGTCAGAAGCCGGGCAGACAGTTCAGCAACGCTAGATTCTGGTTGGCGCAGGGAGCGGAATCCAGAAACAACGGACCGGCACGGGTTTACATGTGTTAAAGAGACTGGGAAGTATGGAAATTTGGCTATAAATAGAGCGGAAAAATGTGCAAGTTGGCAGGGTTGTTTGGGGGACGAGCTGGTATAGCTCTCGTAAACTACCATTTTTAGGTATTTCCCAGACTACCCTCCACTTGTGACCTATGGTGATGGGGATGGTACGGTGAATAAGAAGAGCAGCGAGGTCTGCACCAGATGGAATGAGGCAAATAATCATGGGAAGAAGGTCAGAACCATCTAAATGTCATGCTCCCTTTAATCGAGTATTAAAAAATTTTATGAACAAAGACATTCCCATTTAGGTGAGCGTGCACGTGTTGCCAAACACGGAACACATGGCCATCATGCAAAGTCCGGTGGCGATAGAACTCGTTCGAAAAGTTCTCTATGGAGAGTAGGAGTCGAATACAGTTTTCTATAATTTAATAAAGTTTTTAAATGCAGTTACAACTTATAAAGCACAAAATGAGACATATATAAATATAAGGGCAAGCTAGCGGAGACCTTTTGATAAACGCGGAAAATGGCTTGAAAATGTGTTGCAGATGTTGTGTGACTTGGCCTTTGCATCACCTCTCTCTTTTGCCTAGGACAGAGAACGGGTTCTTTTTCTGGCGGTTCTGTATCCGGAGGTTTGCCCTCGACGCGTGCAAGATCACATCCGCTTTGGTTGATAAGAAGGAGGCTATAAGATGCCCCAGTTGTCTCTTCTACCGTATCCCCCAACCAGCCAGTGCCAGTGACCAGCCAGGAGATGAAGTCCTTCGCCATTCTTGCCATTGTCGCTGCTGTTGCCTTTGCTGTAAGTCTAGAAAGTTTTTAAAAAATCGCTGTTGGGTTGCTGTAGCGTTTAAAGGGCCCTTGAAGCCAGAATTCCGGTTTCCTCAACGATCTCTGCTAGTTAAAATGGAAGGTGGCTAGACATCTAGAGGTTATATTCAGTTTCTCAAATGGTCCTGGCTAGCGTCTGGGCGAGCCAGCAGAGCTCATTTAGGAGAGAAGCTAAAAATTCTTCCAAAGAATCCAAAACTCTTCCCAAATCCCCCAAGGATCACTGCTAGCTGGCCCCAAATTTTGTGTCTTTTCAGCAACACACCCGGCCGACCCCGAACCCGTGCCAAATCTGTGAATATGTCGTTGGCCAGGCTGAGCATCGCCTCCGCGGACCCATCGACAAGGGAGAGCTCCAGGTCTTCTTGCTCGCGGTAAGTATTTTGTAGATGGTCTTATTGAACTTCTTGGTGACGTCGAGAGCCAGACAGCGATTCAAAAAGAGTGTGTGAGAGCGAACCCATTTCCAGGATTGCGAGTCGTTGAGGCGATTCGAAGGCCAGGCAGCCACCGATGCCTGCATCCAACTGATCGACACCAACATTGACCTCATCTACAACGACGTCAAGAACGGTAGGTTCAGGAAACTGGTTTTTATTCGATTACGTCACAAAATTAAAGTTACCAATCTTCAACACAATTTTCCAGGCAAGCACGCCCGCGACGTTTGCGTCGACCTGAAGCAGTGCTAGACTATGTACACACATTTTATGGAATTAAATAAAATTTTTGAAAATTAAGACCAAATTTAAAAATCAGAGGGCTGGTCTTAATCCGGATTTAGGGAGGGGTGGGCGGGGTGGGTTTTTTCTTATTTTTTTTAAAATTTTGTTTTAAAAATACTTTTTTTGGGGGGGGTTTTTTTTTTTGTTTTTTTGGGTTTTTGGGGTTTTGGGTTTGGGGGTTTTGGGGGGGGGGGGATTTCCTATCCGAATTTTAGCGCTTTTCCGCTTAAATGATCTCTTCTAGACAGCCCTGTTTAAAAAACACAAATGTTGCGAAAAGCTAATTATCAAGAACAGAGAACACCCATTTGTCTGTTACTTGTGCCCGGTTTGATCAGCACCGTTTGTGTCGTGTGCGTGGTTTGGGGGCAAGGCCAAATCCGTTTGTGATAAGGGGCCCTTTATAAGGGATTGCCAGGGGTGAAATTATCGAACATCAGTCCCTCTCTTTCTCTACACAATGAAGTCGGTCCTCATTTTCGCCGTGGTCGCTGTCATCGCTTTTGCTGTGAGTTTTTGGGGCTAAAAGTTGAATACCCAACAATCTCTGCTAGCACTCTAAGAATCGCTGCCAGATGCTGCTATTTTTTCAAACGAGGAGATCTTTTCTTCAAAATTTTCTGCTAGCTTGCCTGCTAGCATTATCATCTTCCGCAAATGACCACTGCTAGGCTGCCTCAACTCGCGACTGCCCTGCTTTGATACCCTAGTCTACCCTTACAACTCAGAGTTCTTTCAGCAACACACTCGCCCGACCCCCGGTCCATGCCAGATCTGTGAATATGTCGTCGGACAAGCTGAGCATCACCTTCATGGGCGACCGGTTGACAAGGGAGAGCTGCAGATCTTCTTGCTCGCTGTGGGTGGCGAAACGGAGAGAGACAGAGAGAGAGAGAGAGAGATAGAGATATATAAATGCTGTCATACTCCCTTTAACCCCTCTAATTTCAGGATTGCGAGTCGTTGAGGCGATTCGAGGGCCAAGTGGCTACTGATGCTTGTATCCAGTTGATCGACAACAATATGGACCTCATCTACACCGACGTGTACAACGGTAAGTAGTCGCTCTCTCGCGCTCTCTCTCTCCCTCTCTCTCCATCTCTCCCTCTCTCGTACACGCTAAAAACCACATTTCAGGCAAGCACGTGCGTGATATCTGCAACGACCTGAAGCAGTGCTAAGCTTTTTTGTAAAAATGCTATATACCAGTGGTGAACTTGTAATTTTTGTATATTTTTTGTATAAGAAAATAAATTTATTCCTCCTTCTCCTTCAGCAGAGACAGCTAATGCTCAGAGATTATCGCAAAAGTCGGAGTTGTAGTCGGTGAAGCCGATGGCACGGTTACCGTAGTCGAGGGTCACGCATTTTCTTGTACATCCTGGAAATGAGGGGATTCTCTAATGGTCTCTGCTAGCTTGCTCAAGATTACGATGAGTGCTTTGATTCCCAAAGGCTTTTTGCTAGCTGGCCGAGTCTTTTTCTTCCCAAATGATCTCTGCCAGCCTACCAGACGTATCCGAAGCTCCACGATGGCAAGAAACCGCCCCCATCCATTGGGTACAACATCAGATAGCATGGGTTTTGGTCGTCTTTCTGAAAAAGTACGATAGGCTACGATGCGCAATGGCAACTTGCGAGTGTCAACACATAAATGGGAGGTTCTATTAGTGCCTCTAAAACTTACAAAGTCCTTGAAGACATAATAGTGGGAATGGACGGAGAAGAAATCGTTTGTCGTGTTGAAGTTGAGAGGGGGGAATTGCTGATCACAGCTGACCATTGGCTGGAAAAAGGAAGGTTGCTCGGACCTTTAAAATGGGTAGGTTAGTAAATCTAGAATACATAATTTTTAAAGGGGCGCAAGGATGAAATGGGAGTTTTGTTCTGGGTTTGGGGGGGGGTTTCCATACCTAACCAAAAAAATTTATTGCATTTTAATCAGTTTCTAAGAAATTTAAAGTTTATAAATTCATAAATTCTAATTTTGTAAAAAATATAAAATTAAATGATATCTATATTTTTATGTTTTTTTTGTTTGGGCGCTTCTATGCTCGCTGACAAGAGCGTGCGTATGCGCGTAAAGCGGGCGCGGTGGAATCACGAAGAATCCATAGCCCATACTCACAGCTTGCTGGTCCCTTAAAAGGGACAGTTACACCGTATCCACATACCCATGGTGAACTCGGGTCCATGGTAGCATTTGTGGCAGTGTAGATGTAGTTGTACACATTCTGCGGCACTCCCGTCCTCAGCTCGTTGCTGTCCATCTTGGCGATCTGGCGCTGGGTGGAGGTGAGGTTCCCGATTTGGTAGCTGAATAGGATAGGTGGATACGGTAATTAATTTTAAGGATACCCGGTGATGGCCCAGTTCCAGTTGTTCCTATCGACGAGGGGCACGGTTACGGTAGTGGAAAGGTTGCAATAGCTACCGTCGATAAAACCGATCGTCATCTCGGTGAGGACCTCTTCACTGAAAATCGCAGCGGATTTATGACTTTATCAGTTCTTTAAAGCTGTGATTCTGACTTACGCATCCTTATTGAGCATGCAGTCGTGGATTACGGTGGTGAACGTCTTTTGGGAGGCGTTCGCTGCCTAAAACGGTGGATTTACTGGAGTTTGTCGTCTCTAGCTTTTGCTGTGTCTCTTCGCTCTCTGATTCTCTCTCATTCCCCCTCTCTCTCTCTCTCTCTCCCTCTCTCTCTCTCTCTCTCTTGTCCGGGTTTGCTCTTTTTCTTCTTTCGTCATAATTTTCAATGAGGTTCCAGAGATGGTGAGCGAGAAACAGCGAGAGAGAACGAGATAGAGAGACAGCAAGAGAGAGAGAGAAGAGAACAAGTCAACTAATAACCGAAGATTCATCAAAAACCGACCGCCATAACCTTCGGCAAAAACGCGTCAATATAGTCAGATGGGTAGAAACCGAACCCGCATCGCCCAGTGGCGAACACGTCGGGAATATCGGCCTGTCCATTGACAGGCACTACATTCTCGACCATTCCAAAGCGCATCGGGAATCGGACTATGAATTAGAGTATACGGTCGTATTTTTGGGTCTTACACTGGCTGAATCCAAAGATTTCATCTCCGATCGTTCCAGTGAGGGTGGCCGGGTTGTCGTCGACGTCGACTACGGTAGCCGCGTACGGGTAGCTGCTTTTCTTGTAGGTGGAAGAGTTTCTGAAGTAAGAAAATTCTCTCTCTCTCTCTCTCTCTTTCTCACTCTCCTTCTCTCGCTCTCTCTCTCTCTCTCTCTCTCTCTCTCTCTCTCTCTCTCTCTCCTCGCTCTCTCTCTTTCCGACTCTCACCTCGGTTCATACAGCCAAGGTGCCGGATTTGGCTGATTGGCCTGATAATCGATAATCCAGGTATCACCGGAAGAAATGTCCAATCCACAGCCGAGGAACTCTTGCGGGGCTGAAATCAAAATGCATCCCAAATTGTTTCTGCTAGTTTGCCTGAGCTACCGTGTCCTCAAAAATCTCTGCTAGCTGGCCCTCGTCGTGGCCAAACCGCTCTGCTACCTCCCCCCGATAACTCACGTGTTCCCATGTTGATGATGAGCTGTGGGTTGAAGACGGGCGTGATCTTCTTCGCGTCTTTTCCGACTCGCCAGTTGGCATATTTGGTGCCCTTGGCGATTGTGGCCGCGCTTGGGAACTGAGATTTACAGTTTAAAGGGGCCGGGAAGGCTAATCCATAACTGCTAGGTGCCTTTATAGATCTTTAACCAACCCTCATCTTGATCCTCGGTCCTTCTTCTTGGGCGAGGACGGCTCCAAGGAGGACGATGGCTAATGCCACACGAATCATCCTAAAAAGGAGAGAATAGGAGAGCGAAAGAGAGAGAGAGACGGAGAGAAGGAGAGAGAGCAATATAAAAAGAAAATAAACAATTTTCCGCAATTATTAAAACCTAAAACTACCAATAGCTTGAAGCTACAGTAATCTTACCGTATCTCAACTCCCCTCTGACCTACAGTACTCTACAGTATACCAAAATGTTCGTCTCAACCTGCAGAACCCAAATACAGTATCCTTTAAATCCACCTAATCAAGAAAAACAAAGAAATTGGAGTTTAAATACCATTCCCCCCAATTAGAATCAATGTAACAAGGTCTGGGGGCGTGTAATAGGGATGACAGCAGAGTTTCGGAAATGTTGATAAGTGATGGCCAATCTTCTCGCCCACGATTCAGGCTCGCCCATCTGCCATCTTCACAGGACCGCGCTTATCGTTGCCGAGGGTTTTGGAGGTGTTTTGCCGGCTTTTCGTCTGTATTTTACGGCAAACGGAAGGAAGGGCAGTAGCGGATGGAGAGTACACTCTTTTTAAGGCAAATAACTACCAAGGCCAGCCCGCGTCTCTCTTTAAAGGGATGATATAAGGAAGGTAGTGCCGAAACTGATCTCTCCGACACACTGCCTCGCTCTCTCTCTCTCTCTCTCTCTCGCTCTCTCTCTCTCTCTCTCTTTATCTCTCTTTGGGGGAATTTCTGTCGAATCTCGCTGTCCAGATAAATTTGCATAATTTGCATATCACTCTATAAATTTCCAGTTTCCGGTAAGAGACCGGCATCGGAAATGTCCGGACTAACGACCATTTTGACAGCCCGACCCCCTCCAGAAACCTGGCGTGATGTCTTGCGCTGTCGAGAGGTAAGTGATCCCCTGAAAATCGATTTTTCATATGTAAATTACAGATTGGAGGCGGCGGAACCGGATGGGCCGATGGGGAATGTGGTAGGGATTCTAGAAAGCGAATGGAATACCGTATGCCTAGATTGATGAGCCGATCGTGCCGACGGAGGCCGACAATGAGCTCGTTTGGGCATTCTATCTGGGGGCACACACTGCCGAATCGGTGAGAGAGAGCAGAGAGAGAGAGAGAGAGAGAGAGAGAGAGAGAGAGAGAGAGAGAGAAAGAGAAAGAGACAACCCTTCTACTTTCAGGCGGA